GCGTCCGCCGCCGCCCCGCCCGCCGGTGCCGGTCGCGACAGCTCGGCGGAGGGGGCCGCCTTCGGCTGGCTGTGAGGCGGCTGGGCCCAGACGTCAGAGGAGGAGAAGGTACCCATACAGGTGGGGCCCATGCCAAGAAACACCCTGCTTGCCTCCAGGGTGCCCTGGGTTTCTTGCGTTTCGATGGTTTTGCGATGGAAAGCTTCACGTTCCCACACCAAAAATCTGTGGGCGTCCTGGGGTCTCAGGGTTGAGTTTCTTTAAGGTTTCTTGTGGACTGGCTTCCGCTGTACTCTTCCTACGTTTTCCCTCTTTTTGGGGCCTCCTGGGAGGCCCTCGTCGCCACCGCTGGAGTCGCCTCGAAGTCCTGGTTAGAGCGCACCCGGGGCTACGCCTCTGCGGGCGGGGCGTTACTTGACGGGCCGGTAGCTAAGGGTGCGTTTTCAATTGTGCTTTCAAAGAATGGATTGGCCGCGCACACTCCCGCCCAGAGTCATGATGAGGTATCGACGTTCTGCTAGCTGCCGCCCCGTTTACTAACGCCCCGTTTGCAGGGGCTTGGCCGGGAGAGGTCCAGGGAGCTGCGGTATGGGTACTTGTTGTCCGACGAAAGCATCTATACACCGCCACCGTGCCAGGCCAGGCCCATCCTTGGCCCCAAGATGGTGCATAGACCCTCCTGGCCTCGGCCAGGAGGGCGCCTACGCCATGCCGGGGCCAGGGTGGCCCTGGCCTGGCACGGTGGCGGTGCACAGAGATGCTTTCTGCGTATATGTTGGCTTCCCCAGCAGGCCGCCCTCGAGGCCGCGAGAACGCTTCGGCGAAGCAGCGTGCCGCTCGTCTCTCGCGCCGCCCCGCCGTGCCACCCCCCGGGCGCGGGAGGGCCCTCGCGGTGGCCACCGGGCGACGGCCGGAGGGCCAGTAAGCAGCATGAGCAGGCCTGCTCGGAGGCCCGCGCGGACACTCCTCGGATCGGCGCCGGGCCCCCCTGGCGTTGAGTCGGGCCTGTCCCTCTGCAGGGGGAATATGTAAAAATGGCCTCAAGAGTAGTCCAGGAACGATTTTTTGAGTATTTGTTTTTCTTTCTATCTTTGAGTATTTGTTTGGTATTCGTCCTTTTCCGTCCAAAACCTCCCTGTAGGAGGACACGCCCGACCTGACCCTGGCGGCGCCCCCATCGGGGCTCAAGAGACGGGGGCCACTGCAGGCGGGAGTCAGTCGGCGCGCCAGAGCCTGCATGCTGCAGCGCCAGGCTTGGCAGGGACCCTGGCCAGGCGGTGCAGGCTCCTGCGGGATCCTGCGACGCCTGGCCGCCCTGGGGCCTGGAGCGACCCAGGTCGCCAGAGCCCCGACGCCGGAGCGCGCCAGGGAGGGGGGCCCAGCGCCGAGCCGAGCACTCCGCGGCGGACCTCCGACCCCTCCTCCTCCTCCTCTTTCTCCTCCCCCTCCTCCCCCTCCTCCTCCTCCTCCTCCTCCCCCCCCTCCTCTTTTCCACCTCCTCCTCCTCCTCCTCCTCCTCCTCCTCCTCGTGCTCATGCCGTTTTGCTGCCCTCTGCCTGGCGGCAGTGCCTCCGCGGGCGGAGCGCCACAGGCCGACGAGCGCCGCGGCGCGGCGAGCGCTGGGGCTCGGCTCTCGGGCGCTTGGCTCCGTCGCCCGGTCGTCCTGGGGCGGGTGGCCACCGCGCGTCGGTGGAGATCGAAGCGGGTGCGGAAAGGGTGGGCACGAAGACGAGCAGTAGTTCCTCGGGCGAAGAGAACTATGCACATGCACCGATCCTGGCAAGGCCCATCCTTGACCCAGGATCGGTGCATATGCCGTCCTGGCCAAGGTAGGAGGGCGTATGCACCGATCCTGGGCTCAGGACGGGCCTGGCCAGAATTGGTGTATGTGCATAGTTCTTGTTCCTCTAGTTCCTGCCCATTTTGGACCGGATTCACTGCCTGTGTCGCCGCGGGCGTTGTCCACTTGAGCGACGCAGGAAAATCAGCAGGGTCGTCTGCGCCGACATTGGCGCGTAAGCTGCTCGCGCAAGGTCGCGCGCAAGCGTCCTCGTCTCCCATGCAGCGCACCGCGCTGGCGGCCTGCGTAAGCCGCCGCGGAAGGTCGATGCGTCATCTCGCGTAAGACCCTTTTTGATCGTCGCCCACTTGAGACAAACAACTCTCCTGTCCAGCAGGAGACGCTGTCGGTTTTGGACAACATCTGTTGTTGTCAGCCACGCGCAGAGGACGGTGGGGGGAGGGGCAAGGGCTTCTTAGAAGCACCCCTGCTTTCTAGAAGGCGCGGGGATGTAAGGCCAGCGCCTTCTAAGAAGCAGCCTCCTTCTAAGAAGACCTCCCCCTTCCTTAACCCCCTTGAGCGCGCCGCCAAGTCCAGCAGGAGCCGCTGTCGGTTTTGGACAGCACCTGCTGCTGGGCGTCGTGCCTATCTCTTCCGTAGCCGCTGTGGGCGTGCCGACTCGGGGGATCATTCTCTCCCTGGACCTCGGGAGGCGGAGGAGAGGCGGGCTCGATGTGGCCCCCAAGGGGGCCCAGACATAGCCTGAAGTCGGGCGTGTCCCTCTACAGGATGAATCCAGTGGAGACCTCAAAAAACACCCTGCTTGCCTCCAGGGTGCCCTGGGTTTCTTGGGTTTCGATGGTTTTGCGATGGAAGGCATGACGTTCCCACACCAAAGATCCATGGACGCCGAGGGGTCTCAGGGTTGGGTTTCTTGTGGAGGGTTTCTTGTGGACCAGCCTCCACACTGTATTCAAGAAAAGTCAACAAAAAAGAATATGGAGACGATTATGTGACTATTTGTCACAAGTTTTTTCAGATATTTTGTACTACTTCATATTCTTCGCACAAGATCCGCCCGTAGAAGGACATGCCCGACCTAAATATAGCCGTAGCCACCGACGGGCGAGGACCCCGACGATAGATCCGCCAGGCCTCGCACACTCCCGCCCCTCCATCCCGCGCCTGTCCTCCGTCGGCAGCTGCCCTGTTTCGTATCGTGGCGGCATCGCGGGCGCTCTGACGGAGTCATTGGCACCGGTGGCAACCGTCCTTCGTTGCCAGGACTTCCACGAATGGATTTAACACCGCCAGAGTCTTCACTGTAACAGTCAAGAATGGCGATGCGCGGTTCCGAGTGGTTGCCTTTGGCGCACTTGGTGGCCATTTGTTTTATACCGTAGGCGCAAGTGAACACAATCGTACATAGTTCTCTGGGTAACTCCAGAGCACCGATCTCGGGGGAAGGAGGAGCGACACGAACACTACGAGGGGAGCCATCTCCAGCGAGGGGGTCTACGATGCCTCCCCGAGCTGGGGGCATGAGACGTCTCGAGCGAGAGGGGGGCACCACACCAGCAGGGGGACCCCCCCTGGCTTCTTTCGTTCGTGGTCCCTGGTGGTGGCGGTGTCGCTTTTCCTTGCTCCTATGAAAGGGGAAGACCGTACATGGACAATGAGATCGAACCCTGCGGCGCAAGATACTCCCCCTGGACCCCAAACTTCATACTGAGGGTGCGGCAATGGAGAGGGCATGGGTGGACAGAACCATCCGGACCCCCAAACCACCACCCATGCTACGGGCGGGGGGGTGATGAGCCTCCCCCCCTCGAGTGTCTGAGGGTTCGAATGTTTTGCCCATGTCCTGGAGGACTGGCTCAGAGAGGGGGGAAGCATCCGGAGCCCACTCGCCCACGCGCCGCCCCTCGGTGCCGGGGTGCCCCACGCCGGCCGGGAGCGCGCGGGCCTGCGGCCGAGATCTCACCGCCGCTCCTTCGGAGCCCGCGTGGCCGCTTCCGGGCGGGCGCTTCCCCTCGGAGCCCGTCCCCAGGCCGGTGGGGACAACGGCGGCCCTCCCACCAATCTCGGGGGCGGCCAGGAGGGGGTGACGACTGGGGATGGGGTGATAATCGTGGCCGGGGGCATGATACCTCCCCAGATTTCATGGCGCCTCTTCTTCTATGATGGCCTGCGGCCCATCCCGCCATCGCGCCTGGGTGTGGGGGGGGCAGAGTTCTCAGGGGTGCTTCTTCGGGTTTCTTCGGAGCGCTCTCGGGGGCCTCTTGGGAGACTTTGGGGGTCTCTTGGGGGCCTCTTTGGGGCCTCGTGGGGCCTCCTGCGGGTGGGGCTTCCTGGGGGCCTCTTGGGGGCCTCTTGGAGCCTCCTGGGGGCCCCTCGGCCAAGTGGCCCCCAAGAGCGCCCGAAGGGGCCCTGGGACTGCCCCATGAGGGCCCCATGAAGGTCCAAGACAGCCCCAGGAGGCCCCCAGACTGCCCAAGACAGCCCAAGATGGTGCCAAGACAACCTGAGAGAGCCCCCACAGAACCCTAAGACACGCCCAGACAGCAAGAAGACCCCAGTAGCCCCCAAGAGGACCCCGACAGGCCTCCAAGAGACCCCCAGGATGCCCCCAAAATAGCCAAGACGGCCCCAGCAGCCCCCAGGGCAGCCTCAAAAGATGCCCCTTCTTCGACGTCCTTTCCCCTGGCTCCTTATCGTCCTCCGTCGTCGTCGTCCTCCTCCTCCTCCTCCTCCTCCTCCTCCTCCGCTTTGTTCCTCCCCGCACCCGTCCTCCTTTTATCTCTTCCTCCTTGCCTTCGAGCTTGTCTTCCTGCTCGTTGTCCTCCTGCTCCCCTCGCTGCTCTCCCCGACATCCGCGCTGTCACCCTCGTCATCCGCCGCCCCGTCCTCGCCGTCATCCTCCCTTCTCTCCCCCCCTCCGAGCGCAAGGGACACCATCGGCGCTTCCCGTTCGTGCCCAGTCGGGTCTCAAAGGAGGTCCCGTGGCAGCCCCGGGCCGCGCACGTGCCTCGGGCCATGATTGGCGACCCCCCCCTCCCGCACGCCCCCCTCTGGGACCTCCTCCTCCTCCTCCTCCCTCCTCCTCCTTATCCTCCTCCTCCTCCTCCTCCTCCTCCTCCTCCTCCTCCTCCTCCTCCTCAGCCCAAATCCGCTCAAGATCGCTCCCTGGCCCCCTTCCAAGGTTCACCCCGGACCCGCTGAGGCGAGATCCGCGCACGCCGGGAGAAATGACACCACCACCACCACTTCCCTCGGCCCCTCCCTCGCCCAGGAG